CTTAGACCTTAACATATTTGTAAATTTTAAATCACTCACTTTGGAAATACACTGTAAAAATAAGCCACATCTTGAGTTTTATCAATTGGTGCAATATCTGGGATGTTGATGAATATGAGAAAGAAGGCCACAGTATGCACCAGAAATCCTAACAAAACAATGGGGTCTCTGCCAAACCTGTTGGTTCTCTTTCCCAACAGCCCAAAGGCAGCACCACCTGAAATTAAACATAAATTCTACCTAAGAGCTGAATCATTCTGAATTTGCCAAAAATAGAAGTAAAGTGCATTTAAAGCAAAGATTACTTGGCCGTCCATTTTAAATTGTTTAAAAAAAATCATTAGGCTCACACACAACATCACTGTACAGATACTATAAAAAGATGCATTGTATATACAATAATAAGCATGTAAAATTCTACCATATATTTACCTATTATTTCTCCAGCACCTATAAACATTCCACAGATCCCAATCAAAGCATCCGGGTCTTTTAGTATTTTGGTATTGGATACACTTGTCCCGTACACTCCGCTGAAGAAGGTCAACTCCAATCCTTGGATATAAAACAGAAATTACATTTATGTAATGACAGCATTTATATGTTGCCTAAAGGATTTTGAAAATTATTAGACTAATCTGATGGTAATAACTCAATGAGGAATATTTCTTGTACATAAACAGGAAGAACAAGTTTGTATTTCTTACTACTTATTTCTTACTACACAACTCTTAAATATTTTATACACCCATTCTTTACATTTCATAACACAAATATAGTAAATAATAATGCAGTGGGTGCCATTTTCCAGACATTTCATTACTAAGACACATATGAAAATGAGCTCACAATCACATTATCGATAATCCATTACCAAGAATGTTCAACACCCAAAATCAATCTCCCCCCAATCTGCTGTTCCTGTCCTTGTCCTTTTTGTTGTTCATCACCCACTAATCAATTGTAACAACAAAGCTAGTTAAAACTTCTAAGACAAGCCTGTAGCCAGCAATAAATAAACTTTATGGGGGTGATTAGGCATATTTTGGTTGAAATTACCTGTATAAGCAAAGCATACGCTGAGCAGCAGCATGTTTTTGGTGGCCATCAACTTGAAAGACTGAACTGCAATAACAGAAATAAAACATATATCAGAGCAATTCTTATCTACAGTGAATGCAAACTAACAAACTTAAATGGGAAGTAATAAAAGTTTAAGTGACAAAATAAACATTCATACTGATAAACAAACCAATTCTTAATATGATAATGATTAAGAAAAATACCCTGCTGATACACACTATATCAAGAATATACTTGGTAACAGCTTTTTCACAACATGTAGATCTTTGCTCACCTAAAGCTTTCACAGGGCCAGCAGGTCTGTCTTCCATTACATTAACTACTTCAGTACTGAAAGTTATATCAAAAATTTACAATCAATCATCTTACATTAAATAAAATTATACCATGAACTTGGAAAAATTACAAAATATAGGATAACATAGGCAAAACTATATCCCCTTAAGCCAATTTTAAAATTAGATCCTATGTCAAGTTACTGTGGTTGGTTATGAGGCGTGGACTTTGTGTCATGTAAGAAACTGGCACTTGTAAACTTATATACCATACAAGGCACTCGCATCATACGTATCTTTAAATCTAGCCTTTTGAAAATAAAGCAATGGGCTGTTTGAATGATTTTTTCAAATAATCAAGGCAAGAAGGAATCCATTACCATGTAAATCACAGAGTACCAATTACAACTTGAATTATCAATATGGTCTGGAAAGCAAATCCAACTCGTGTGGTAATCAAACGAATCTGCCTTCATATACATTCAAACTGAGCAAAGAAATGGTGGGACTGTAGCTCAATTTGACAAAATAATCAAAGCAGAAAATAAGCATGTCTTCACAGTCAAAAAGCAAGCGAATAACTATTACCTCCAATTTTAAGTAAAGCAGCATGGTTGACTTTTTAATTAGTAGAATTAAGTTCTACTACCAATTAGCTTCAACTGGTTTAGTTCTTAATTCTCTACAATGTAAGAGTTACCTTGACATATCATCTTATTTCAGTGTGACCGATCAATATTTTTTTCTCAGCAGCGAACCCTTCAAAAATCAGCAATCTGTGGTTCTAACTTTTTGAAAAGTTCTTCTAATAATCAAGTCAAGGTTGAATCCCTCAACAATTAAAACATATTGTACCGGCAACTATGGCTTGAATTATCCATACTACTTGGAGATAAAATCTAATTGTAGTAGTAATAAATTGAACCCACCCTCATATACAATCAAACTGATCACAGGTAATGACAAAAGAATCACAAAAAATGTGTGTATTCTAAACATTTTGACTAAATGAGGCAAGGTTTTATTAGTTGCCTTGATTGGGAAGCTGGAGTGGTGAACTGAAAATTGACATATATATCTAAACAGTGACAAAAAAGGAAGCAACAACTTCCATATCATTTCAGTAAAATAAAATTGTTACCCATTGGGTTCCCCTGGTCCAGTTCTTATTCCACTGGAACTGCAACTCAATTTGACAAAATGATCACCAACAAATTAAGTCCTGTTACACCCATTGGGTTTTCATGGTCCAGTTCTTATTTAATTACAACATGAGACTAGTTTCCTTGACATTAAACCTCACAAATACACTGGAAAATCTTGACTACTTAGTAAATGTTATGACAATATTTTTTTTCAGCAGCTAACCCTAAACACGTCACCAATCTATGAAATCTACCTTTTTAAAGATTGATCTTCAAAGAAAATACTGTTCACTTAATCTGATAATCTTCCAGGGTGTCAATTTTATTCTTTTTTCCTGTAACAGATACTTAATTTAACCAAAATTACCAACCCAGAATTTCTTAAAATATAATAAAATATGATTACAGGTACCTTATATTAACATTCTGGATTTCCTTGCTAGAAGTAAAAGGTGCCTTTCTCAAAAACACAAAGCTAAGAACACCAAGGAAACAGGCCCCTGAAAACACTCCAAACAGCACTGTCCGTCTGCTATCTGATATTGTGGTGGCTCCACGTAACTCAAAATATGAGAACAGGTTCCCAATCAGAAGACTGCAATACAATATAAGTATAATATAATATTAACTACAAATTCACTCATAATAAAATTCAAACAAACATCTGATAGAATTTTCAAGGATTTTTTTTCAACTTAGAACAGTATATTATTATAAGCAAATTAAAATTTTGAAGGTTTTTGTAGTCTTTCAAATAGTTCCAAAATTCAGCAATGTCTTTTGAACTATAATGTTGTGTCCTAAGAAGAAGGGTAATCAAGGAACTAAATGAGTACATGGGCAATGTAGCACATTTTTTTCATCTTCTCTCATTTCTTCTGTTACTCTCTTTAATCAATTTTTAAAATATAACATAAACCAAATGGTAGTTGTCACTGTCAGAGGTGTTGATCAAAATTCAAGAGTTTGCTGCCCCAATAAAACTTTCTACCTGCTTTGGAGAAGGGCCCAAAATATGCCACTGTTTCTTCCAACCGTTTCTGCGTCAGAGTTAAGGGTGAGAAAGCTACCTTGGGCAGTCCACAATACTGAAAATAAGACCAAATAAGAAGCTTTATCAATATATCAAATTCAGGCCTTAATACTAGTAAATAGATAAATATTCTCAGATGTGAAACTTAAACTTTTATCTTTGGTGTTGCTAAGATTTGGTCCTTTCAAGAAAATTTATCAGGAAAAGTCAAAGTTCCACACCTGAAAATTACTTGTAATGTTTATTAAAGTAACAAAAAAATTATAAACTACATGCAAACAAATTAATTATCAACCCACTTATATGAATGACATGAAATGAATTCAGTTACTGAAAGGCAGCTAAACAAATCCTGTGGATAATCATTTTTTATTTATTTGTCTGCTGGAACTAATAAACACTGTCACTGGAAAAAATTTAACGACCACAAAATCTATAAGACATGAGATCTTTTATGATTTTACCTGCAGCCCCAATGCCTACTAACACTGATCCAACGTACAGAGCCCATGTCATTGGATATAAGAAAGATGCTATGAACAAACTAGAATGAAAATATGAGCGTGTATGATTAATGTTCAACAAAACCCAAACAGGCACTAAGTCTCAGCTTTAAAAGCTGCAAAATATTACAGCACTTAATTTTTAGAGGTAATTCACACTAATAATATCTTATTAATTTTTTCAAGTGTTGTTTTAAATAAATTAAACTTAAGTGGTTTTAAATAAGATTTAAATATTTTAACTTTCCAAATTAGCTTAAGAAAAATGGATATCAAGGCAGCGTGTGTGGAACAGGTTTGGAAAAGTTTATCAACTGCTTGTAAAGTTATAGTATGCTCTTACACTTTCCTTCCTCCTCACACACACTCAGACACACACACACAAAACTTCAAAACATATTTTTGTTCATGCTGCATTTTAGAACAATGTTTCAGCAGAGGCAGAATTTGTTACAAAAGCCATATGTACAGAACTTACAGATATAAAAAACCTCCAAGCACCATGGACCATTTTGGTCCACAGAGAGCGACCACTGAGGGCGCTATCCAGTTAGCAGCAGCAAACACTACATAGATTGTAGCTAGACTGGAAAACAGAAGTGATGTCTTTAAGCTAAGTAAGGTTAAGGCGTGTAAGGAGAGGGTTTGCAACAGGTGAAAGGATGATACAGGATAAAAATAATGAATCTTACAAATACGTAAACCCTGACACAACCAGTGACCATTTGGGTGTGAGGAAATTCACAATGGCTGGAGCTACCCAGTTGAACAATGAGGAGAAGATGTATATAATTGCAAGACTACAAAGAAAAATAATAATAAAATTTTACAATAAATAAAAGTGACTTTCTGTTAAAATAAAAATGAAACCTCATTTCAAGCAACAAACATATTACCTCCTACTTTGTTACAACATTCTGAATTTCAGAGTTGACAAGAAACTCTGCTGCCACTTGAACCAAGTAATACCTTTATATAATCTTTCAGAGGCTGCAATACTAGTACTGTATGTCATATACTGAGATAGCTCTATATTTGTCGAAACTTCCATTAATTACATCATTTAGGGTATAACTATACAAACCTGGTGTAACCATTCCCTGTGAATGTGCTATTTGGTGCGTCCCGTGCATCAGTAATGACAGTTTGCTGGAAATGAGTTATTTTACATAAGAAAAAGAGGATTCAATCTTTCAAAAATAATATTTTCAATGTAAGAATTTTTTTAAATGCTTTCCTTATTTAACCTATTTATGCACACAACAAGTGTAGTGTCAAATCTTGGAACATGTTACTGGTGAATTATACGTAGATGCACAGGTGATATTGGTATCTGACCTGGTTTCCACAGGACCTTTTTTAACCTAAATACAAATGTTCACAGTGACGCTATGTATATAAACTTTCAAACACACAATAAAGATAACGTCATTTCATATTGGGTTAACGACTGCAATTGCAATTGACTTTTGAATCTGATAAGATTATCATATCATAAACATACATGTTTCCTATATAGCCATACATTTCATGCTAAGAGTAAGACAGAAGAGGTTCTGCTAATTGTGGAAGAAAGTTCAGTTTGGCAAATTAGTCAAAAATAATGTTTTCCTTTTCTCAATTGTTTCAATTTTGTCAAAATTAAAAGAAAATCACCACACCAACTGCAAAACAGGCCTGAATGCACAATACCAGTTTATTTATTTTTCAATTTCAAAGATTGAGGGGGGGGGGGTCATTCGGCTAATAACTACCCAGAGTGAGATATATATTCCAGTATAAACATATATATTCTAGCTAGCACAAAATTAAAACCAGTTTCCTGTCAACAGAGCTATCAGTAAGGAAAGATTAATCTGCTTGTCTACCAGTTATGTTGCCATGAAAGTTACACCCAGTAAAGAAAACAAAACAAAAAGAAAAAAAAAGAACTTGTGAATGTGTAAGGTACAGTATGTGAAATAATGAGGCGCAATTTTTTAACCTACGAAGCAATCTACTGCTCAGAATCATGTTTAATGGAGGTAGCATTGGCCAGAATGATTATGCAGAGTTTGGTTCCAGGCAGGAAATTATCTTTTATGTACTTAAATCTTTTGGCATTTAGAAATCCATTTGTCATGAACATTGCCTCTCTGAACTGGGACTTCAATGGGGATGAGAGGCACTACTGTACCAGCTGGCCCACATCTGTGGCCCCATTTCCACAGATTTTAAATTGATCTATCCCTGTGGGGAGTCTCACTAGATTTCTGTCAGCTTAGCCGGCTTAAATGTCTGTCCCGCTTACTAAAAGTTGTAAGGGGGTAATTATAACTATGGTGCGTGCTCGACTGACAGTAATTTAGCGTGAACCCCCAGGGAGTTACGTCGATCCGGATGGATCAATCTAAATCTCTGGGAATGCACTCTATCACCCCATTCTCATAGATTAGATCGACCTACATTGGATCGACCTAACTCCCTGGGGGTTCACGCTAAATAGCTGTCAGCCGGGCGGACACGAAAGTTAATTACCCCTTAAAGCTTGTAGTAGGCGGGGACGGACACTTAAGGGGGATTATCTGACAGTAATCTAGTGAGACTCCCCGCGGTGATAGATCGATCTAAAAGTTGTGAGAACAGAGCCTATGTTGACCGCTTGGGCATGGGGGGCCAAAGGGGACATTCATAGGATAATTGGTCGATGATTACAAGATCAGCGCATGACCAGTTTGTCCTGACGAAGGCTCTTGAGTAGAGCCGAAAATTAGACGGTATGAAAATATTTAGATAAAACCCGTCTGTAGAATGATTAAATTAACAATCCATGTATAACTACCAGACAAATGATCTTTTTAAAGAAAAGCTGCCTCCGTTTTCGGCCTTACATGTCAGGTAAAACTGAGACACCTGCAGCTGCTGGGACAGGGGATACAACTTTCGGTACTTTCTGTCTCGGTTACAGAGTGAGACTAACAACAAAAATTAGGCAGATTAAAGTAAACGAAATCCCTCTGTACGTTTTTGAAAACAATGCCTATTTAATTCCTCACCTCTACCATGGAACATGTTTGAAAAGCAGAAAATATAAACATAAAACCAATCCCTAGCACCAGCACATTGATGAGCCTCCAGTCCGCCATGTTTTCGAATGTTGACATCACATGATCGGGTGAGATGAAAAAAAACAAGAATGTTTTACAAATAAATTGATGTTATATTTTTGACGTGCACTTTTTTTATTAACTAGGCGATTTATTTTCAAATTGATTTTTGTGAGTGCTACTAGACGTGTAAAGAAAAATGCAACGTTCAAGTTTTACATTTTGGTTTTGTTTCACTTTTAGGCACGTGTCATATTACACTTCCTGGTTGACCGTGGAATATACGTTGTCGAACCCATATCACTCCATTTGCAAAGTAGATTGTTCGGCGTCGTTGATATTTTATCCAGGAAAATGTCGGGCGGATATGGAAGGCCACCTCAAAATGTGGATGATATGGCATCGTTGAAGGTTGACAATTTAACTTATAGGACCACTCCGGAGGATTTACGCAGGTCATTTGAGAAATACGGAGATGTTGGCGACGTTTACATCCCCCGTGACAGATTTACCCGCGAAAGCCGTGGTTTTGCCTTTGTTCGATTCTACGACAAGCGGGATGCCGAAGATGCAATGGATGCGATGGATGGAGCCATCATGGATGGAAGAGAACTAAGAGTACAGATGGCTAGATATGGCAGACCAGCTGAGCCTAGACGCGGTGGTCCACGGAGATCGTATGGCGGGGGTGGCGGCGGTGGCGGATACAGAGGATCTCGAGGAAGAAGGTGCATAACTGTAGTATTGTCATTATGACCTGTTTCTCCCATTTTTATATTAGAATAAATTATATTTG